TTTGTTAAAATATACATATTGGAGGAGAGGTGGACAAGTTGAGGAATGGAAGAAGAGACCAGGCATAGTCTGGTGATGAGGTGAAGCTGATGATGGCAGGGGTAGTAAGCATATTTGATCCCAGTGGTTTTTAGGCAGGCAGACACATTGTCAGAGGGGTGGGTCTTTACTGGGCAGTTGATTGAACTTGAAAGAAGTGCCCCTACTCATCCTGGCCAACAGCTGGTGCTGCAAAGGCACTGACCTCGTGGGCTCTGTCTTTTGCCTCCTCTAATTTGCTAGATTTTCTGAGGCGTAAAAAACCTAGCCCACCATAGCTAAAATAAAAATGTCTATAAAAATGAAGGTGCACAGCCTTATTAAAATATATAAATAACTAATCCACTTTCTGCAAGATACATAGTCCACTCCTCATCCTGCCCCTATTAATATCAGAAATTGGTAGGTTTGAGGTAGATTCCTGTTAAACAAATACGTGTTTGATCTTCTGAAAAGTTGAGAATATGTAGAAATTGACTATAGCATGCACACCACAAAATAATTTGCCAAAAGGGCATGGAACGGATGTGAAGCCTCCGTTGTACATGATATGAACCTAATGCCAGTTTCCAATGTCTACTGATCAGCTTCACCAATATAATGATGATATATCATAGAATAAACATGCACATATTGCCTGCTATATTGGACCCTTCCGTGCCGGCTTTATACTTGTCAAATGCAAACTATGTGATTAATTTTCCAGGCCTAGTACTCTTTTGAGTTTTTCGAAGCCATTTTCAATAAAGGTAATTAGATGAGCACTCGGTCCCAAATGCTGTGGCCGTGATATAAAGCATCTCGGTCTGGGGTTAGTGCTGGAATCTCCAGCACTGATGTATGCTGCAGAATCAGTTGCACCATCATCCAATTCTTACTATGGATATTGGTCACTAACTCGATGCTAACTGTGGATCCTTGCCCTCTTTAATTAGACGGGTGATCTTTACTTGGTATCAAACTGTTGGAAAGTATCATTCAGTAGGAGACAGTACAGATTCTGTTGGCAAGAGTGGAAGAAAAAGAGAACATGTTAAGACAAGGAGAGGGGAAGATGTAGTGTTGTAAGTTGATAATAGGACAGACATATTATTGGGGAGATATGCCCTCAGTGTTAGGAGGGAAAGAGACACAGTCACTTTGTGCTAGATGGGAAAAATGGAATGAGAGCAATCCAGGAGAGACCCCTTTTGGGTTGGCGAGGGGTGGGAGTGGTAACAATTAAAAGGATACAAAAGTGATAGAAATCAGTTAACTAAAATATTTAGTTCAGAGATTTTATTTGAATGGCCTAAACCTAAATGTTATTGTAATCTTTAATTTAATTCTGTACAGTTTTGCAATTCCAGAATTGTGGCAAATGTGTTATTCTATGTTTTATCACTTTAAGGATTAAAAAAGTTATTTATTCACTTGCATACATAGTTGCTCTGCTATTATAAATATTCATCCTGCTTTATAGATATTTCTTCTCTTTGTAGGAGGCTAGGGATAAGAAATGCCATGCAAGGATTTAAACCAGAGGATAATAATTTTGCCTTTGAGGCAGGGGCATTTAATTGGCTTTCTTTAGGTTGCTCCTTTTAGTGTAAATATGGACATGAAAAGTTATGATTAGAAATGGTTAACCTATAGAATCTGGCAAGTATGAGAACATTGAAGTTTCTTTTAGACAGGCAGTGTACATGGATTTTGATGTATTGTAAATGGTAAATAATGTACAGATTTGAACAATATGGTAGAACTTGTGCTTGGCCAAAATGAATGAACTACTCCCAAACAAATTGAGCAAGACGATTAAACTTAAGTAAATTCTAAAGGATGTTTGTAATAAATACATTGCATGCAGCGACACTCTGGCACGTTATTGATATAATTCACATCAGATGATCCTGTACTCGCCTTTATACTGGTTAGCACAGTGCTCAGATTTTGTTCTTAATTTGCATGTTTATAGGAGCAGCTGTTTCTATTTTCTGCATGTGGGACTCAGCAATGACCTTAAACCTCTGTACACATGTATGCTTCAGCTTTAAGTAACTGTGGGGTGTGAAACACTCATTTTTCTTTCTTTTGTCTTTAGCCAAGCACAGGTCTGGATTTAACATTAATAGTTTCCTAGCCTGACTCATCGACATGGTACTGGAGAGTATTGAACGAGTGCCACCCAGGGGAGCCATTGCCAAATAACTTTCCCTGTGATTTTAAGGCAGTATTAAACAAGCTCTTCAGATGACAGGAACAAACTGCTGAAGATCTGCTTTTGCATTTTATAGACTTTACTAAAATCTTTATAATCACTTCCAAATATTTCCAATTCTCTGTGTGCGCACAATAGTGTGCGGTACATTCCTTAGCAATTCCCTGTAAATCATAACACTCATCACTTCCAGTGCCTGCAACTTTATTTCTGAACTGGATTTTCACATTGAAGCATTGTACTTCCTTCATGCTGATAGCCTTCTCACAAATAAATGCACATTCCGCTCTTCCCATAGCCAAAGTACTTTGGTCTGTTGCAGATGAACTGTGCAAATTGCTAACCTTGTCCTTTCAATTTTTGTTGTTTTGTATGGAAAGCTGTAACTGGATTGTAGCACTTACAGGCCTATAGTGTCATTAATCAGTCATCAAGTCCTAATAGTACATTCACTGTATACTACTTCTTATAAAACAGTAAATTATACAAACCTTTTATTATAAGAGAAATAAACAGTAATTATGTTTCAGGCAGACACAAAATGACCATCACCATAATGGTCTAAATCTTGATCTAAAGTTGAATTGTAACAAAGAATATTGGGAATAATGTCTGTCTGTTATTTAATTATCCAAAATATAAATTCTTTTGTTAAGTAATTTCTCTATTCTTCTGGGAAAATAGACACCTTAGGTATAAGTGTCACCGTTAGCAATGTCCATGTAGAGACTGTAGAAAATTATTTATTTTTAGTAAATATCTTTAATCAAAACTGAAATTCATTGAAGAACTGGTATTTTAATCCAGGGTTTTACAACCTGTTATGCTGGGGATTTAATCCAAACACTGGTGTGATCGCTAACCAGCCAAAATTCCCAAATGCAAAGTTTACACCAACTGGCAAAATCAAGATTTTCTGGTTATTCTCGGGCTCTGATTTCTCCATGTGAAGATCATGATCTCTTCTGTGTACTGTGCCAGAGGATCCAGAACCTATTGTCATGAACACTAAGATTTACAAAACTGTAATGTTTCAAAATCTACCTTAAGCTCCCAGCAGAAAAGGATGTTCTGATGGTTGGTAATGGTGAATTCCTTGATGAACACCCAAGTTCTACAGATGTGCCATGTAACCTTAGGTCACCATTGGGAGAGAAACACAAATAGTAACCACTTGAGGCTTCAAGTGATCAGTTTTAGCAGCTTTCACAACTCACAGAATCAGAGAAGAAAAGCTGCTGCTGAGTCGCAGAGGGACAGAAAGTTGCTGTGTTTGAGAAGCAAGGGAACTGCTTTGTGTTAAAGATAGGATGCTTAATTTCCGTTCAAAAGAACGGGAACAGGAGAGACAGGGCTCTTGAAGATTTAAGGAATGGGAATTGTTGAGGCACAGCTTACTGCTGATAATCAACTCCGGTAAGTTTGAGTGAAGGGATTGTTGAAAAACACTGGAAGTTTCATCTTGGTTTGACAGAGGGCGGTGACCTTTTGCTGGAGAGCTGGGAGCAATTTTCATTCTGTTCTTTGATTCTGCCATTTGAGCAGTCTTAATAGTGTAGAGTAAAAACATTTCATAAGACATACTTTGGTTGTATCAGTTAGTTAATTTGAAGCGTAACTTTTTTTCTTTAGTTTCATGTATCAGTTGGTTAATTAATGTTTAATCCATGCTGATTGTAGAATACTTGCTGTAGTAAAAGTCTTAACAAATAGGATCTTATCCATCTTTCTGCTATATAATTCTGTTTATTTCTGTTCATGTCTTGGGAGTTCCTTCTAAAAGGTTATTGGTTTCTGAAGGGATAGCAACACTCAAATTTATGGAAGGAACTACTTCAGCTGAAGAGATGTGTGAATGTGGAACTTGATATTACAGTAGCTAAAGCTAATTGTATAGATCGAATTAAGGGGGAGTTAGATGAGTCCATGAGCAATAAGGGAATAGAGAATTAGTGATAGATTCAGATGAGAAAATGTTGTTTCCCTGTATATCCTATGTAATGATATTATGTTAATATATACGTACGTATTAACTACATAATTTTAGCATCTCACTGCTATTATGAATGATGGGATAGTTTAACTTCTGTAGCTGGCTCTTTCTTTGACTTGAAATTGAGATGAAGCAAACAAGAAAATTGAAAGCTAGTTCTTTTTTCCATTCATTCAGGGACTGTAGGTGTTGCTGGCTGGACCAGCATTAATTGTCTGTCCCTAATTGCCCTTGATAAAGTGGGAGTGAGCTGCTGCAGTTCACTTGGTGTAGGTAGACCCACAATGCCATTAGGGAGGAAGTTCCAGGATTTTAACCCAGTGCCACTGAACGGACAGCAATATATTTTCAAGTCACGATGGAGAGAAACTTGTAGGTTGTGGTATCCTATGTATCTGTTGCATTTGTCCTTCGGGATGGAAGTGGTCATGGCTTAGGAAGATGCTGTTGAAGCAGCCTTCGTGATTTTCTGCACTACATCTTCTTCTATGAGAAGATAAAAGCAGATAAGGAAGTTGGGAGACTGTACTAATGCCACTGTACTTGTCCTTTAGCCCATAACGGAGACAGAAATTATTGCTTTTAATGTTGTTTTTGGCCTGAGGAAACTGTGGTATTCAGTGTCAGTGTGGACAACTTTGGTAGTTTGAGTTGCATGTGCTTGCCATTTCAACAGGATTATTTTACTGCTTAGTCTTATTTGTTTGTTCCATATGCACAGAGCATAATCATAATAGATAAATGTCTATTGTTTTTATTCCTGTGCAGTTTTACACAGGGCCCTCTGAAAGATGCTCCCAACTTGATCTGCACACCACACACATCCTGGTACAGTGAGCAGGCATCCCTAGAGATGAGAGAAGCAGCTGCTACTGAGATTCGTAGAGCTATTACAGGTGAGACCATCTGACAGTTAGATGTAATTTAGATGCAGTTTAAGAAACAAACAATTATGATGCCTCTTTATGTGTAATTATGGAAAAGTGACAGTTTTGATTTAAGTAAATATTTTAATCAATCTACTCAAAATATTATCATTTTAGTACTTAAAGCATTTACAGTTATTGCCATTTTAATCTTATTGGTATGACAGTTTAGAAATAAAATTATCTATTTGTTTGTGGGATGTGGCTATTGCTAACAAGGGCAGCATTGATTACCAATCCCTAATTGCTCTTGAGCAAAAGATGGTGAGTCACCTTCTTGAACTGGTGTAGTAACGCCTGTGCTGCTGTGGGGGAGGATTTTAAACCTGACAGCAAAAGATACATTTCCAAGTCAAGGTAATGTGCAACTTGCAGCTGGCAAGTGTTCCCATGTACCAGCTGCTCTTGTTATTCCACAAGGTAGGGTCAACAGTTTTGGAAATATGCTGTTGGAGGAGCCTTTGACAAGTTGCTGCAGTGCATCTTTTAGATCACTGTTTCACACTGTGACTCCAATTCGAGGCTTGAATATAGCATGACCCCTTGTGTGGTAAGGGCATAGGGGAGGAGAAGACATTTAATAAGGAGGGAACTGTACACCATAGCTATGTTGGAGGTTGTGACCTCAAATTTTCAGCTCGCGATCCCCAGTTGGGGAGCTGACCCACACTTTGGGAAGCCCTGATGTAGGTGACACATTAGAGGTGGAGGGTGAGAGTGTTTAAGGTCAAATAATTATTATATTTGTTATGTTTTCCTCATGAATATATAGTCGCAGCTTTTTTATTCTGGTATACACGCCCTTTTTGCTTGCTGCAGGCCGAATCCCAGACAGCTTAAGAAACTGTGTAAATAAGGATTACTTTGTTACGACTCCAGCCTGGCCAACGATGGACCAGCAAGCTGTCCACCCGGAGCTCAATGGAGCCACCTACAGGTAGGAAGATTATATATTTGTGTGTTTACAGGAAAATTGTGCTAGTATTAGATGTAGCAAGTTTAATTTTATCATTTTCATTTTTCTCATGATTTTCTAGGTTTTAAAAAAAATATTAATGAGTTGTGGGTGTTGCTAGCCAGGCCAGCTTTTATTGTTCATTCCTAATTAAGGTTAAGAGCCAACCACAATGTTGTTTGTCTGGAGTAATATGTAGGCCAGTAAGGATTGCAAGTTTCCTTCCCTAAAAGGCTTTTACAACAACTGTTACATGGTCACCATTGGGATAGCTTTTTATTCCAGTTTTTTAAAATTGATTTCAAATTTGACCGTCTTCCATGGTGTCCCCAAAACATTTGTATAGATATTTGGATTACAAATCCTGCAACATTATGACTGCTTCCGACAGATTTGGCACAAAACTAATGTTTCCTCTGGTGCAAGTCTTGGTGAAATAATAACGCCGTTGACTTTGAGACTCCATCTACTCACTTGGGAGGGATGGTCTGCAGTTGTGAAAAGCATGAACATTGATGACATGTATGATCAAACTGTCAGACTGTGGATTTTGAATGCAAAACATTCAAAGTTACTATTTTTGATGAGCAAATACATTGCTAGCTGTAACTGAGATAGTAACTGATTTGCTTAGTATTTTAACTATTCCGTAGATGAAAGTGCAGTGTTGTTGGAATATTCCAATCATGACGTTGACACATATCACAGTTTATAGCTTTTATAGCTATAAAATTCGAGACAAGAATTGTTACAAGAAATTTTGAGCCTGTTGTAAGTTGCTAATTACATGATGCATGTTAACTCCTACTGACTGATGATATGTGAATGAATTTGAGTTTAAAGTCTAGCCTTGATGTATTCAACATTCATCTCTGGGATGAGCTTATCAGCGTTGCGTTGGGCAATTAAATATTTAATTGTGGAGGCTTATGGGAAGTTGGTAACACCTCACTCTCATCCTGTCACTGTGTTATTGGTGATGGCTGTTCAACAGTTTATTTGCTAAACTATCCTACCATCTTTAACCAAATGATGAGGTTCGTCATGAGAACCAAGAGCAACAGGCAGCACTAACTAAATAATTAGCTATCCTGGTAGATTAAAGTGGATATTTCACTTATCGGAATATTATGATATTCTTGCAGCTGCTGAAGTTTGATAAGTGTGATCTAACCATTCATGTGTAATTAATAGTTGTTCCTTAAAGGCCATAACAGCATAAGAATGAACTGGAGCTTTTAATCAAAAATCTTTCTCCCTTGCCAGAAATTTCCTTTTGCCCTCAAGAACATTCATCTAACATATTTAACAATGAAATGTTGAAGCAGTCATCATTTTTTCATGATTGAAATTTTACCTTGTCCTCTTAGTGTTTAAAAAATAGGACATAATTGAAAAATGCTGCTGTATTGTTTAGTACCTCTGTTAGAATACTGAGTAATTCCATATCGACTTGTTTAGTGTTTGTACACAAATTACTGATGTATCATAATTCTAGCAAGGAATGTAAATATTATCCTAGGGTTTAAAATCCTAAATGCATTCCTGTCAGGTCATCAAGTAATTTTATGTGGCTCAAGTAAAATACCATAGACGCTGGAGATCTAACATAAAAACAGAAAGTGTTAGAGAAACTCTGCAGGTCTGGCAGCATCTGTGGTGAGAGGAACAGAATTAATATTTCAAGTCTAAAGACTCCAAGATCTGAAGGAGAGGATCTTTGGACCCAAAATAAATCTGTTTCTTTCTCCACAGATGCTGCCAGACGTGGTAAGTTTCTCTAACATTCAGCATTTTAATTGTACGTGACTCCACTTGCTATGAGTGGACTTGTTCAATAATGGTGACATCAGTTAAATTTCAGCCAGGCTGCTCATATCCTGTATTCAAACTGCGGAAATAATTAAGAGTTTTAATTCAATGAAGGCACTCGCTCCATCTTACCAACAAAATATATAATGCTAAGCAGAAATATGATATTTTTCTGAAGGATGCGTTAGCTGCAACTTCATTTTTGATTAGTATCCAAAACCTTTGGAGAGATGGTTAGTGGCTTTTTGTCTTTGGGATGATGGCAGAAACTACTGGCTTAAAGACAGCAAGAAACGAATTCTGTGTATTTCCCTCTTAACAGCAGGGTGCACAATAACCCTTAGTAGAATACAAACACCTTTGCTGTCAATCATTTGAGAAAAGTCTTAAATGTTGTGAGCTCTTCTCATTCACAAAAAGAACTCCTATGCTTTATTGATATTTAAAGCTTGCCATATATTTCAGCCAGCAGCTGATATCATCTGGTGACAAAATGCTATAAAGTAAGAAAAATATGTATTTTAAAGTCATTTTTCACTTAATAGGTGATGAGAAGCTTCTGTCCCTAACCCACCTACCCTGTGCCCTTACCTCTAAAGATGTTGGTTCATGCTGTGGTTCAGCAACTTTTGATGTTTCTAGTTCTTTATTATTTCATTCTGACCATTGTCCTTAAGATGGAGTGCTAGAGAGTTTTTAAATGCAGGACATCCCATCAAATCTCACTTTACAGCCTTACCCAATATCCATAACTTCATTATGTGGCACTGATGCTCATTTTTAATTGATGTATTGTTTATTATAAATGTAATTTGTTTGAAGTCTGGCATGTCTTTCCAGGTGTACAGAGATTCATAAAACTCAGATGCCAACATTAGATTTTTGGGTGTGGTTTCAGTTTCCCATTGACTGGAATGACCAAGGAGAAATATTGCTGACGAGTTTATCAGTAGTAGAACAGAATGTCTGAGTCAGGCTTGTGAAGTTTTACATTTAATTCATCCTGTCTTCTTTTGTAGGTACCCTCCTGGTATAGTAGGAGTAACACCTGCAGGAATCCCAGCATCTATGGAAGGAATGGTACCTGGGGGGGTGCCCGTCTCCCATAACCTTCCTGCAGTGGTGCATCCTTCCCACACTCCATCTCCCAATCAGCCCACAAAACACGAAGGCGACAGAGAGCACACCTCTGAGCAATAGCATATTACAGAGCTCATCCAGTATAGGGTTGGGACCAAGAGACACTGAAAATATCATTATAAAAATTGAATATTTATAGGATATTTGAGACCTGAAACTCTTCTAAGAATTTGTACTCTTTACAGCCGCCAGCTTGGGATGTTACAGTGTTATCCATGGATGGGGATAAAAGCTGCATTAAACCCAAGAACTCCCTTCACTCAACAGAAACTAAGAAGTATTTTACAGAGTGTTTTCCAATGATATGTCCCTGTTGATAAATGTGTGTCACGTTCCCTCATATCTTTTATCTGTTGATCACAAACTTTACTGGGTAGACTTTTCTTATATCATTTGAAATAAGTGTTTGATAGATGAGGAGAGAGTGAAATGTGTAATTGACAGAAAATGGTAGCCTTAGGTGTGAAATTTTAATAGTTAGCTTGAAGCATTTCCCTTCATTCTCAGGAACAAACCTTTTTGTATTGTTTGTCAGCAAGTTTGACTTCAAAACATTTGTTCCTCAAGGACTCCCATTTCTTGAACATATAAAACTTATTTTTCTCATAATATGGCATTTTATATGAATTCACTGTTTTGTCTGGACATGTGAGTCCATCATGGTCTTAGAGTTAAGTGCATCAACAGTGAAGCTGGTGAAAAAGAATGAACTGTTACATCGGATGTGACAGCCGGCAGTGATGCTCCTTATGATGTTGTGTTGGTTAGCGTGGACTCTTCCAGTGAAAAGCATACCAGATTCAAATGTAGAATGTTACAAATCCCTTCCCCTTCACTCCACTTGGGTAGAACTCATGATCCAGGTCAAGCTTACTCCCCCAGCATTACTCTTTACTCATCGTAAGTATTTCCCCTAGCTATGTGTTTTTTTTTTGATACTCAAAACACTGGATGTTATCAATCCATTTGCCTGATTTCACTTAAGAACTGCAGCTCACATTACTTTTCAATTTCCTGTACACATAATCTTTGGTTAATGTTCTTTTCAAGTAACAAAAGCATTTTGTGTTTTATTTAGTTATATTCAGTTGCTGAGTGAATGGCTAAGTTGAGTTTAGTATTGCACATTATTAGAACCCATACAAAGTTCTGATCCAAACATTTATCTTTGCTAAGTATGTGTTTATTGTGATTCCTTCTTATTTTTATTCTAGAGTTGATTTCTTGTATGTAGGTTGCAATATTTTAGAAATATCAGCAAAGACAAAATGTCTGGTGATTTCTGTGAACCTATGGAAGTGCATACCACTGCTGAGAAGTGGAGGGGGGAAAGAGATATTGACTGTACCTGGATATTAGCCTACCCCTTTATAAGATGGGTCATCACCCAATGATGGAATATTTGTATGTGAAAAACTCTGTTTAAACATTTTTTTAGGCTAAAGTGTTATCATTTAATCTAGAAAGCTCTTTATTACTGTCTGTTAAACTGTGTCATAAAACTTGCTGTTCTGTTGTTCAGATGTTGTGTGCAACCATGTTGGGTTAAAATTACTAGTGTTAAACCTTTTTCACTTGAAACTTTTTTGGTAGCTGTGCAGTGACAGTTTCCAATTGCAGGTAAAATCATTTTTAAGTCAGTCTTTCAATTTCTATATTTCTTCAACAATTTGTGTTAACAGTGAAAATATAAAAAATTAAAAATATTCCAAGTTATGTTTTTGCACGTGTCTTACTGTCAGCTGCTCCTGAAAACCATACTTCCACAAACCATTGTATATTTTTCTGTTACTTTGTGTGCAACACATTTTTAAAATTTGGCATCATTTTCCTTAATGTAATGTAACGAAGCGACATTGCAAGAGTATTGTTATCCTTCATGTATTGTTCTTAGTTTTAATTTTACTCAACACATAATTAGGCTTTTTCCTTTGGTTAAAAATCAGCAGTGAGGAAGGAATCATATAGGGGAACAGCCCTGGATCTGTATCGTTCTCATTCATTGTCTGATTTCAATGTACATAGCCATGATCTTGACTACATTTGTGCCGACCTTCAGTGCAGAAATGAGAATAGTTTATTGGAAGGAGACCACTCTGTTTATTGTGCCTTTTCTGGAAGAAATTCAAAACTAATCACTTTTACTGTCTGTCAGTAGTTTACTTAAAATATTTATTGGCTGTTCCCCTAAATTTTACATTTTCTATAGATTTGTTCACAGTATTTGGATATTGAGTCAGGCCAGCATTTAATGTCCATCTCTAATTGACCTTGGGTGGTGATGAGCTGCCTTCTTTCCTCGCTGCAGCCTGTGGTGTAAACATACCCATAGTGCTTTAGAAAGGGAGTTCCAGGCCTTGGGACCCACTGACAGTGAAGAAATGGTGATAAAGTTCTCTGTGAGGCTTGATGGGTGGTTGCTGGTGTTTCCATGCATCCACTGCCCTTGTCCTTCAAAAGTAATAAAGTCACTAGCTTCGAAGGTGCTCTTGGAGGATTCTTGGGGAGTTACTGCTGTGGGTCTTGTCAATGGTATGTACTGTTGCCACTGTGCATCAGTGGTAAAGATAGGGGATGTTGAAAGTAGTGCACACAATACTAATTAAGCAAGATGTTTTATCCCAGATGATGTATACCTTCTTGTATAGTGTCTTGTACATGGAGAAGAGGCTGTGAGAAGTCAGAAAGTGATTCAGTTGCTGCAAATTCCCAGCATTTATTGCATATAATGTAAAACTCTGAATCATCAAAATTCAGTTTTGAATTGATGGCCCTCAATGAGCTTGTCAATCTTTAAATCACCCTTTAATAAACCCACAACTATAGTTTATGCTACTCTTCCTGCATTCTCTGAAAATACCTTTAGAAGTACTAATTATCTCAACAGCAGACTCTGCCCCAAATCTTTTCCATCCTTGTTCTTGCCTAGCAAGGTTATTGACGGATTAATCGCACCAGCTTCTTCATGCCAGGTTACCTTCCCTATAATTGGTCTCTCTCACCCTTGGTTATGGATGAATAATTACTACCTCAGCTACTTTTGTACATAATCAGTTTTCCCATGAACATGGTTCTTGCCTTCTACCACATTGTGTATGTTTGAAACTTAGCTCAGAGACCTGACCAAGCCCAGCACCGTCTATTGTGTTGACACTGACCTTTACCATGAAATAAGAATTCTCACTTTTTCATTTAGGTTAAATGCACTAGATTAAGCAATACAGCATTTGTTTTTCTGAAATGCTGTGGAACCTCCTGCTAATCTTTTCAGTTTCAGTGGAAAGCAAGACCAAAGATCTTCTGGCTCTAAGTTCAAGTTTAATGCACAATATCCAGTTTCAGTCATCCCATGTTTTTTGATACGGCTCAGTGCAGGACTCAGCACGCCTTCAATTCATCAGGAGGTTATGATGACATCATGATTTTCACACAGTGCTGCTCCTTAAAAATGACCAAAACTCTATCATTGTGCCTGAGCTGCAAGGTCACAAAGTCTGGACACCATTTTGAAGACAATAGCTTTTCCACAGCACTTTGAGCGAAAGGGAGCGAACGTGGGTGTGAACAGCAGCAGGAGGATAAATACGTGAGGAGCAGGGCGTGAAGAGACGTCAGTTCAAGCAGCATCAGTGGCAGCAGGATAAATGGCTCAGGAGTGGGGCTTAGGCCAAGGTCAGCCCAAGCAGCAGCAACAACAAGGCAAAGGTGAGTGAACCTGGACATGAGCAGTGGGGTCATTCAGGGAGGTGACATCTGATTATAAAAAAAAGGCATAAGCTTGGCTGCTCAGAACCAGGTTTGCAGACTGAGTAGTGTCTAGAAAGAGATAAAGTACTTACCTTTTTGTAGTTGTAGTCTGCTAGGAATAGACAGCAGGAGTGAAAGATAAGTAAGGTTGTATAATCAGTTACTTGATTGTTGCCTGGAAACTCAGCCCCGTGAAACGCTCATCCTGTGATATCTGGGAAATCAGGGACAAAGTTTGTTCAGCTGCAGCTACTGATTTGCCACATGCAGCACCAGGAGCTGCAGATGGATATTCCGTAACGAATCTGAGGCCGAGAACGTCATGGATAGCATATTTAGCAAGGTGGTCACACCACCAGTAAGGGCTACAAAGACAGGGAAGAGTACAGTGAGCATGGGTAGACAGTACAGGAATCCCCTGAGGCATATGTAAGGCTTAGGAAACTGAAGATGCACAGAGCCCTTGAAGAATACAAACATAACAGGGAAGAACTCAAAACAAAAAGAAATTAAGATGGCTAAAAGAGACCATGAAATATTTTTGACAAACAGGATTAAAGGAAAATCCCAAGGTGTTTATACATATAAAGAAGCATGAGGTCAGCTAAGGGAAAGATAGGTCCACTTGAGGGAATTTATGCATGAAGCTGGAGCAAGTGGGTGAGGTCTTTGTTAATACCTGTGCAAAGTATTCATTAAAGGAAGAGGACATGGTGGATGTTAAGTCTCGGGAGGGGTATGTTAATGTTCTAGGGCATATCAATATAAAAAAAGGTGGTAGTGTTGGCTGGTTTGAAAAGCATTAAGCAACACAAGTGCCCAGGACCTGATGGGAGATCTATTCCAGATTATTGAGGGATGCAGACAACTTCACCCACTTGTGAGGAAATTGCTGGGACCTTGTATGAAATCTGTTCATTCTCTTTAGTCACAGGAGGGGTCCCAAAGGACTGGAGAATAGCCAATATTGTTCCTTCATTCAAAAAGAGCAGCTGGGATATTCCGGAAAATTACAGGCCAGTGAGCCTTACAGCAGTGGCAGGGAAAATATTGGAGAAGATTCTTAGGAATAGGATTTACTCATGGAAAAATATGGACAGTATGGCTTTGTGCGGGTAAGGTCTCACAAACTTGACAGTGTTTTGAGGAAATAACAAAAATAATTGATGAGAGCAAGAGGGTAGATGTTGGCTTACATGGACTTGAGCAAAATCTCTGATAAAGTTCCACATGGCAGGCTGATACAGAAGATGAAGTCACATGGAATCCAGGGAGCTAGTAAGATAGATACAAAACTGGCTTAGTGATAGCAGTGGAAGGAAGTTTTTCTGCCTTGGAAGTCTATGACCAGTGGTACTCCACAGGGATCATACACACACACACACCTACATTCTCCTCCACATCGTGTGTGTATGATTAAAGATTGGGGGACCTATGGCTATTGAGGAGAATTGTCAGATGATACAGCAAGACAGGCTAGAGATTAATGTGAGGTAATGCTTTTTGAGAGATCAAATGCAAGTGAGAAAAATACAGTAACTGGCAGAACCCTTAATAGCATCAACATACAGTTGGATGTAGACATGCAGGTCCACAGTTCCCTGAAAGTGACAACACAAGTGGATAAGATGGTCAAGAAGATATTTAGCACAATTGCCTTCATCAGTCAGGGCATAAAGTATAAAAATTGGCAAGTCATGTTGCAGCTATTATAGAACTTCAGTTTGGCCACAAAAAAGAAATTGCTGGAAAAGCTCAGCAGGTCTAGCAACATCTGTGAAGAGAAATCAGAGTTAATGTTTCAGGTCCTGTGACCTTTCCTCAGAACTGATTGTGGATATCCCTGCGGAGCACCACAGGTCACAAATTTCTGCCAATCTTTTGGTTTTTATGCATTTTGCCCACATTTGGAATACTGTGTACAGTTCTGGTGGCTATACTAGCAGAAGGATGGGGAAACTTTGGAGAAGGTACAGAAACAGCTTATGTGGACGTTAGCTGGTTTGGAGGATATTAGCTATGACAAGCGATTTGGTTTGTTTTCACTTTGAATATCAAAGGCTGAGGGTGGGGGGGTGCCCTGGTAGAAATTTACAAAATTAAGAGAGACATGCATAGTTGGAGTCCTTTTCCCAGGGTAGAAGTTTCAATTACTAGGGAACACTGTTTTAAAGGTGATGAGAGCAGGTTTTTATTTATACCGAGGGTGGTATGTGCCTAGAATATGCTGCCAGAGATGGTGGAGGAGGCAGATACAATAGCAACATTCAAGAGGCATCTTAGTAGATATATTAATAAGCAGATATGTAGGGACTAAAGGTGTCAGGTGTCAGTGCAGGCTTGAAGGGCCAAAGGGCCAGTTCTTGATTCAATCTTTCTGAAAATCACCTTTATGGAATTAACATTATCAAGCGATGGGAGAAAATACTCGAGGGATAATCTGGAAGGTGACATTTCAGAAGTCGATATTTGTTTAATCGTGACAGGACTGATTGATTGCATTAGTCTCGTTGTTTCAGACAGAGTTACAGCACTAGGTGTCAGCATTTCACCAAGCTTTAGTATACAATCGACAAATGTAGTTATAAACATTCGTAGTCCCGGTGCCTTTTAGGTCTATAAATTAGTTGTCATACTTCATTGTTACAGGAATAGCAATTTTCACTGTTGAATAATGTATAAATGTTGTACAATATTTTAATGGCTAGTATGATTCACATTATTACTCCCAGTGTCTCACACAGAAAATGAAGGACGAATCACATTTATTGCATTCTAACTACTTATTGTCACAATTGTATAGTATGTTTCATGGTTCATTGCACGGAGACATTAATCAATTAATCTCTTGACAGCCATATATGATTTGTAACAGAATTAAATTGGTTACTCACTGGAAGTAGAGACAATATTAAATATTTTGTTGGGGTGTAACCAATGAGAAGAATGAAGGGTGTCGGTTTTCTGCA